TTCATCATCTTCATCACCAGCAGCAGCAGCAGCAGCACATTCTGTTCCCACCACCTGGATTATTTATTTTTGACATGTAACTTGTTACTAAAATCACACCAATACAAGGCTTTAAAGTATTTTGAGAAAGAAGCTTAAGAATAATAAGATAAATTTCTGCTGCTAAGTTCATATTAAATATGTGGAAAGCACAAACAAGTCACTCTTTTGGCAAATTAATTGAAATATTTGTCTTGTTAACTGCAGCTATAGTTATAATCAGAACTGTGAGGGGCTAGTTTTTTACATTTTCTTATTCTTTCTTTTGTGTTTCTCTCTTGCAGAAACTCAATTTTCATCCCTCTAACATTCAGCACTTGGTTTCTTTTTGTTTTATTAAAGATGGATGTTTACAAGCATCCGGTGACAGATCCATCCAAGATGTCAAAGAGGGGTCGATTGTCCCTGAGGAGAAACTCTGATGGGCTCCTGGAGACGGTAGAGAGAGGAGCAGGAAAGCCTGAGGAGGTCAGTTTCAACATTGTTCAGACTGTGGAAAACTGACTTCCACTTGATGTTCTGTGGTTTAGAGAGATTCATACTCTGGAACTGGTAAAGCTAGTTAACAGCTCAACAACGGTTGTTGGCATTTATGCTACAGCGGTTCTCTAGGGCAGGGCTATTCACCGTACAGTCAGTGGGCCACATCCGGCCCRCGAGTGACCAAAGTTCGGCCCGCCAATTYRCTTATTCATCTTTTAAGCCCMAAYCCCCAGTTTTCTACTTTAATTACTATAAGTAATTTTAGCTAGATAGSCTGTGTCCAAAACRGCAGGCCGGRTCCTCCGAAGGCCGAATTCATCGGCCGCTTACATCACAACGTGACGGAGGCTCTCCAAAACCGAAGACTCCTCTGATGCAGCCGACAAATGCGTCCTTCCTTTGGCCCGAATTGAAGGACTGGTCTGATGGATCCTTCCCGGCCCACCATATCCCATGATGCACTGCGGCCTGACCAAAGGTTTTTTTTATGCTCGTAATGGCGGACGAAGTGAGAGAAAAGAATACGTTTTAAATTTTAAAAAATGGCGGTATAAAAATTTCAATTTTCAAGCGGTTGTAATTTTAATACTTTTATCATTTGTATAGACGTGTTTTTAAATACTATTTTTGTCAGAAAAAATATTTAGTGAAATAACCATGCACCTGCGCATTAGTTCTTCAAATATTACCTTTAAGTTAATTTTATTGTTTTGTGAAATTAATAATGCTAACAAATTGATATTTTTCTAATTTTGATCTAATTTTGCTTCTCTTTAGCATTGTCACAGTTGCTAGRCAAAAGGACATAGGCCAGGGTAAGGTTGGGAGGCTAGACCGTCCAAATTTACAGCCACTTTTTTCCAGTCTTCGCGGTCTACTGAGGACGCGGCCCACCTAGACTGGGAGGGCTGGGTCCTTCRGAGGACCCGGCCTCCTGTTTTGGACACAGCCATAGACATGTTTGGTATCTACAGAAACGTCAGAATCTTGGCTACAAGCTGGTAAGAAACATTTCTATGAACATCCAAGACAGTTAAATTTACAAATTTACAAGCTGTTGAAGATAAAACTATGAAATTGAAAATAAAATTGGCTTAAAAATTTGTCAAGTCAGAGATGTCAAAATATTATTTGTGTTAATTATGAGACATAATGTGTTCTTTTTGTATTTGACACTGTTTAATTATCACTACTTTTACAGGGTTSTGTATGTTGTATTCATGATTAAATGCAGTAAAATAAACCATTTCAAAGATAACAGATCTTTGTAATACTTGGTTCATTTACATAATAACTTTAACTGCTGGATGTTCGGCCCCTGAGCTGTTGACCTGCAGTAACTGTGGCCCCAGAGCAGTGTAGTTGAATAGCCCTGCTCTAGGGGCAGTGGACAGATGGCGGTGCAACATTTTCCAGCCTTGTGCTGGTGAGTCCCAACTGTAACCCATTGCTGCGAGTGCACAGGAGTGGAACTGGGGTAAAGTTTGGGTCTTGCCCCACACCGAAGCCAGAATGTGTGACTGGAATCCCCTGCTGGACCCAAGCTGTCAGAGGCCAATGATGGTTGGAGAACCTGCTTTGACCACACTGTGAACCACCAGTGCAGGGGTGGGACTAACTGTGGGTTGGCTGTCATCTTCTCCAGGAAGTGTCAGCTAGCTGAGCAGAGGTCACTGTTGGCTGAGTCTGGACAGTTATTATGGTGTCCCTGTGATTCTCTGCWTCCTGTATCTGACAGAGCATAGATATTCTACGCTCCAGTTCAGCTGCTTTGTCAAAGAGTGAGAAACAGCCCTGGCATCTTGTTGGAGAGGTTTCAGGAACCATCCTCTGTTCTGGTTCTTCCTTAGATTTGTGTTTCAGATGATGAACTCAGCTTTGTTGGTGCTAAACGCTAAATTAAATACTAAATGTAATACTGACACTCATTTCTCCAGTGTCTGACCTCTCTGTGCTCTCTGTGTTCATCAGGACCTGCTGGTGACCGTATTTGAAAATGGCAGTCTGGTGCAGGAGTACTCCCTGGATGAGATCAGGAAGAATGCTCAACTGCGAGACGAGGAGCTGAACTCCAACTTGTACGACAAAGAACACGAGCTGCTACACAATCAGATCATCAATGGGAACCATTAGAACCGTGAAACCTAAAGGGAAGCGTAGCATTCTGGTGGCGTGGAGTTAGCAGTGTTTTACTAAATAAAAAGAGGACATGTTGATCACTTAGTGCCAAGATCCATCACTGGAGTGGATCCAGTTGTGTTGTCCTGTCAGTATACACCCACAACTAAGCTCAGGGTCAGATGGAATAAGCTCACTGCTGTCAGTAAGTACAGCAGTTTAATGTTGTAACTCAAACTTTTTATCGCCCTCTGGTCAAAAGCAAAATGCAAGCAATGATGCTTTATTTTAATTTTTTATTTTTTATTTTTTATTTTTGCTCTCGTGTGTGCGTGCGTGGTTTTGTGTGCCTGTTAGCAAACAGGCACATGAACCACTGGAAAGATTTTAATGAAACTTGCAGGAAGTCATATGCATCTATAACTGCTTAACTTTTTTGGAGTCAGCTGATTCAATATGGCTGACATGTAGATAATGAGGTAAATGTTCATGTGTGTGTTGCTGAGAGTTCTTCAAAATGCGCAGATCAAACGCAGTGTTACTTTCAAGATTTCTTATCATACGATGGTCTTTGTTGAAAACTTAAGGCAGCAAGTCAAATGTATTCCTTCGAGGAATGCCAGGCCTTTATTAAGTGTGTTGTTAGGCTGGTTTATTGTATCAACACACAACTTCAGTAGCCTCCAAATAATCTGCTCTTCCATCACATTTCTCTGCCTGAACATTCATAAGTAGAAAATTATTTCCAGACATTAACAATAGTTGGCATGGTCATTTGTCATGCTGCTATCTACATTAGCAGGCAGGATTGTACTTGATACACATGTTTCATTTTAAATCTGTAGTTTTTGTTTGACCCAGTCCGATTTGAAAACACACTGACCATGTGGAACACCACCTGCACTGACCAGGACTGCTGTCTGAGAACAGAGTATAAACTCCTCAGTCTGCACACAGAGTCATACAGTGAAGCTATGATGTTGCTGAATAACAAAGTTAAAAACACTAGCTTGTGTAGAGATTCAGTGATGTAACTATAGCAGCAAAGTCGAGTTTCGATAGAATCAGCAGCTGCTCGAAGAAACATTTTGTATGTGGGGTTATGAACAGTTAGTGTCTTACCTGTTGTAGCTACCTCCTTGAACAACCTTAGTTTCCTGTAACTCAATTTAATTCAGAAGGGAGTGACCTGTACAAACAGTGTCATAACTGTTATAATTATAATAATCTTCATGCAAACACTATTTCATGACCCTTCACTCTGTTGTTCCATCACGTCTTTATTTACATGGAATTTTACGGTTATCTGCAGCAGAAAAAAGAATCTACAGATAGCCCACTCAGCATAATCATTGTGTAATGTGAAACAGTGTAAAAGTTTAAATAATTGTGTTGGTTCAAAACATTTCACATGTTTTGAAAACTAGTTTTAAGACCCTAAAATTTACTTTTGAAGTGGGTTGTGCTAGCTATTACTAGCTTGTTGGTGCCTAATACTAACAGCTTGTATGAACAGATTTGCTAGAAAATTAGATGTTGCCATACAGCATTTTGGACAGCTCCAGACTTCAAAATGTTTCCAAGCACTAATATTTAAACCTTTATGCCTGTCGCTTAGCTGTGACTTTGGGACACTAATTGGCCTCTCAAAATTCTGAGAACATCTGTATCTTTTCACAGTCCACCAAATTCTGATCATTTGTAACCAAGTGACCAGTGAGCAACGCAACTGCATTCATTGTTTAAAATCAGCATTTTTTTACATTGTTTACATTATTTAATTGCTCCTTGGCCTTGACACCTGCTCTGGACAATTTTCTTTTAAATGATTAGTTTTCATTATCTGTGGTTGTTAGACCTGTGATGCTGGGGAGCGAGGCAGGAAGGAGCGAGCAGCTGTAGTTCGCCTCTCTAACCTGAAGGCACAGGAGAAGTATTCCACACTTTCGCTTTATTTTCACATCAACCATACAAAGTCAGGTCTCCACAGCAATAAACTTCCAAGTGTCTCCTCGTACAAGGGCCCGCTTTGGCCCTCAGCATCACGTTAATCTCTTCTCCTCAAAATGAGAGCTCTTTTTCAGTCCTGAATTACAACAAAAGAAAAGGGCATAAGCGCCTCCTTGTGGTGCTACCTACTCTAGGAACTGCGCAGTAAACAGACTGTTACAACATTAGATGTTTTCTGTCATGAAAGTTTCAACACAGGAGTTGAAATGCAGCTGTGGAGTTACAGAAACTCTGTTGAGACAGGTTTGAGACTCCCAGTACAATAATGTGAGGATTTTGAAAGAGAATCTGTTGCACAATTTTTTTGAACCTCTTCAAAAGTCAGTCCAGTCTGCTAGCCTCTGAGGAAATTCAGACCCGTTGCATTATTTTAAAGCATTTTAAGATTTTATTTGTTGAGGTAAGGATGTTTCATGATAATCCTGTATCTGGTAAAAGCAGATGTCGGTTTAGTTTTGTTCTTTTTACTCACAGCTGTTTTACACTTAATCTGAACAGAGACAGTTAATTTCTCCAGCGGGACTGAAGCATCTTAGTTTAGAAAGTAAAGTAACTGTTTGGAAACAAAGAGTTGGAAAAGTGCCACCACAGTATGACTAATGTTGATTTTATAAACTCAAGCTGTGAAAAAAGCAACTAATTACTTTATGACTGCATTTTCCCACATTGTTCTTCTTGGTCAACTTTTACTAATGACAGATTGTAACAAGATTGAAGATTTCTTAATTTCTTTTTTTTTTTTGTTTTATTTTAGAGATTTAATTCTACAAAGTACTTCAAAAACCTTTTGAATATATGTTTTATTTTAAATGGTACAGCAGTCAGTATAATGTTTGGTCGCTCATTCAAACTTTTTTATGAAGATTTTTTTTTCTTTTTATCATCTTGTTCTTTGTGATATTGATTTCAGACTGACTTTGTTTCCTCAGATAAACGTAGTTGTGTAGTGAACGTTCAGCAACTGTTAATAAATGCAGTCTGTTCTTACTCTACACAGAAATGACTTGGTCATACATTAAATATACTTGATGATGCTGTTGTTCTGTAAGATAATGTTGTTTTTTATTTAAAATTAAATCACTTTTATACACAATGCCTGGTAATAAAAAAGGTGCATCTGATTTATTATTGCATCTTTCAGATTGCAACTACACTGCAAAAACTGTCCACCTAACCAAGTTTTAAAATCTTAAATCAGCCAAAAAGTCTTTTTGATCTTGTTTTGAGACTGATTTACTAAACAAGAACTGACTGTGTATAAGAATAATCATCTTGTTTTCAGAATG